AATCATCACATTCTCGAAATATTTGATATTAGCGCCTTGTTGACCGAAATTAGCGGAATGGCAAGTGTATATAATCTGTTTACTTTGGAAACTTCTACAGGCTTAGAGCCTAAGAAAAAAGTAACATCAGCACGTAGCAACACTAACACGATTGGTTTCGACTGTGTTGGTGCAATTGGTATCGATTTCTGTTTCTAATTTTTCTTTCGCTTTTCGTTGCATTACATCTCTCTTTTCCTCATTTTTCTTTTCTTTATAGGCGGGAAAAGTACTCGCGTCCAATTCCAGTGACACATCATCTGCAATTAGATCACAAGTACTTTAAGTCCAGACCCCTCTTTTAGCACCTTTGTGATCCCTATAATTGCCATTAAATTTAAAGACCGTTTTATTTTTAAAGGAGATAAAATGTTAAACTTTGTTTTTTTTTTTGTTTTCATCGCTTCTTTTGATCGCTTAGATTTACCTCCAGAGTTTGCACTTTGGACAACCAACACCCAATTTGGCATTGAGAGCAGTTTAAAGGTCAGCACATATTTTGAGTCATTTTTTTGCGACTCACAATGTTTCCAGAATTGACAGACACTAACGAGGAAGGGATAAACCAAAAATTGATTCTCTTTGTTAGAAAAATGGAGAAGATGATCACAAATCACAGATGACCCCGCCGCATCGTAATGGCTTGCCCACTGTTGTTTTAAACAACAAAAACGCCGGCTAATAATATCGAGACGGCTAGGAGTAATTGTACATGTTATCCAACTGCACTCAGTAGAGTATAAATAACGCGCGAATCGAACACAAATATCACACGTCATTGTACGGTTGTTTATTTTGTAGTGTAAAAAAATCCCTTTAAACCGTTCGACTGCGCTTGCTACGCTTCTCAATCTGCTTTAATTTTCTCGCCTGATAAGAAATGCTCATAACTTTAGGGAGTTGGACAATAAATAAATTATTAAAATTATTAAACGTTTTGATGTACGGTATTGCCGAGTATTTTTGCACTGTGTTTTGACTCGCCCTCCGGGCTCGTCAAATTACGGTACAACTCTTAGAAGTACTCAGCGATGCTACACACCAAAACGTCTAATAAGATATATATATGTATATATATATATACATCATATTTTCAAGAGGCGTCTCTAGTAAGTTAAAATGTTTTTTTAATTCAATGTTTCAGATGTTTGTTGAAATTGGTGGGACAGGATTTTATTTTTGTCGCCGGCCTTTGTTAGGATATATCAGTCTTAGGTTATCTTCCATAATCATATTGTCAATTTCTTTCGAGGACGGTTAATTGTTGTAGAGGTTTATGGCAAAGTTCTCACTGAATAGCGTGTATCAATCGAGTTCTCAGCAATTATTCGGAAATGCTACACTAATGGTGTTGTAAAGCGGAAATTCGTTACGGAAGTTTTTTTTCATTTTTAGCCCCCAAGCTTCGGGAAATCTTGTTTATTGTTTTAATTATAGATAATATTCTGTCTGTTTATCCTGTATTTGGTGAAAGCCTTTGACCTTGAATCAACTGGAAACTGCTTCCACCCGTCTGTGGAATGCATCCTGTTTGTACAGCATTTAATTTGTGATCCTTCATGTTTTGAAACGTCCGTGTCTGGCAGCAAAGATTACTGTATTAGGAAAGTACATTGTGTTTTTTTCTTCGGGGAAACTGATTCGTACATTCCTTAAAACTTCAAAGGTTCGATGTTCAAAATAACGAAACGACATAAACAAAGTCCGCCACTATGACTTCGAGTTTAAGTTTCTGCGTCAAAATCCTTGTTGTGACTATAATCCATCTTTGCGAGAAACCCATCTGAGATTTAATTAATACAGAGGAAGTAGAAAAAATATCCCAAGGTCTTCGCTACACTCATAAAGCAGAAAGGGAGAGATGAGTGCAGCCCTTCATGATCTACTATCTTGACTGAGTTGAAGAGGGCCTTCATGATCTGCTGGCTTTACCGAGTTCAAGCCGCCATTTAAGGCCAAAGTCATGTTTGTTCAGTACTGTAGCACTCTAAACCATCGACTTGTTGAGGAAAATGTTTTGATAACATAAAACAAATTTATGCAATAAGAAATGCTCTGGGCGGCACGTGAAAGAAAAGCAATAATGCATCAAATGCATGCAAAAAGCATTCACTGCAGCTGAAGCAGTTAGCAATGACAAAAACATCTGCTCGTCTTAGGTGCGTACACTTGGGATCACTGCGAGTTTGTGGCTTGGCCTTCCTTTTCTTTACTCCCGAGCTGTTCAAGCTGTTCTTAATGCAGCAGACTGCTTTCTCCTAATTTTTTTATCATGTAATTCGCTCCTCTACAATTCACATTTCCGTTTACTTCTAAAAAAATAGCTACATCACGGAACCAACCACAGGGAGTCGCTGTAATTCGCATGTTATTTTCGGAAAGCCTTTTAACACATGATCCTTTCAGGGTAAAGGTGGAAGGTGTAGTTTATTTTTCTTTAGCGAGGAAAAAATCAATAAAGTGGTTTAAAACGTTGCACAGGGCTCAGAAACTGTAATGATTCCGCGCTTTTCTATTTTGAGGAAGGGATATCGTTGCTAGTACTTTTGAAGGTAAAGGGACTGCATGAAGGTCGCGGGACTTAGGGCAGACGATGAGAATACAGTGATAGCTTCCTTGTCAGGTTATTTCTGACAAGACTGATAATTCTAAAGAAAAACCAGACTTGTACTGAACAAAAGTAGTACTCCTTTCGTGTGAAAGAAGATTATGTCATTCCATTAGACAAGTTATCTTAAGTACAAAGAACTTTCGAAAGCCCTACGGGCGATTGCGTGTAATCAATGGAATGAGACGATTGATAACTAACGAAGATCACCTGCTGAAAGTCCGGCTGTGTCGAGTCCAAATACAAGTTTCAACTCTTAGTAATGAAACACTGTTCTGGTTCTTCTGCCATTTATTCGACCTGTTTTCTATTTAGGGTATTATAGGTGAGAAATTACCTCCCATTGCGGTCGAGACCAGTGTAGACTTATTGGATTAATTTGCGCCAAATATTTGTGTGAGACCAAAAAAATTTGCCGGTGAAAAAAAGAAAAAAAACCGAGGTCGATGTCGGAAAAAGAACCATGTAATGACTTGAAATCTCAGGCACTTAATCCGAGTTTCTTACCCTATAATGTTTGTGTTGTGATTAAAACAGTTTTGTTTTCAGATTATTCAGTAAGAAACCATTGTAGTTGGTCAATCGCTAATCTAGGTAATGTGCAATTTACGTCAGATATACAGATGTGGCGGAGGAATTTTCCGTTTTTGACCTTATACGGCGTCGCACATCAGCTTTCTTTCCGTTTCCTGAGTCTTGAAGCTTAAATTTCTTATGCTTGCTCTTATAAAAACAAATCAAGTTAGTGTGTGGGCGGTGAGAGGGTGGACAGGTACTAGAAACTCGTGATCTCCACGCCTTGGGTTTCGCTTCCTCTGCAAAAGTCAGATTTTTATCATTTTCCTGTCGTTATTCCACACGTATGAATATTACATCAAATCTGAAAGACCTTAATATTTCCTAGTATCTTTAGTTCATCTTGCAAGCTGTGTAATAGAATTTTGGATTTTGACTAAAAATGGTTTACAAGGCTACATGCCTTGTATTTGTAGCAGACAAAGATTGTCACTAAGCTTTTCAAGAGAGTTCCGTGCCTCTTAAGTCGATTTATGCTTCGCAAAGTTGATGGAACAATCTTGAATCAATGCCCCTTTCAGAACTTTGAAGCCCTCAAGGCACATCAATCTTAATCTACGTTATCGAACGTTTCTATGTAATCTGTAAAGCTCTGCTCACTTCTACAAGTGTAGAACATGCAAACAGAATAAGAAAGTTTTCAGATGCTTAGATTCTGCGTAAAAACCATCCCACTCACGTTTGTAAATGCATTGTGTGCAAAGTTGAGAACAATAGGACTCCGTCTGTTTAATCTGTTCTTTTTATGTCCTATTTCACAGTGCTGATTGTTGACCTTTGAAAAGGGGTAAATTAATAAGTTATTTGTATGCCAAACACAATACTTGCGAGAGCGTGGGAAAACTGCAAAAGCGAAGACCATGACGACGATTTATAATCTGTCTCTTTATTTACAAGTTCCGTTGGTAAAAATCATGAATACAATAAATTTTGTACCAAGTTTTAAAATATGTAACAGGAAAGGGAAAACTATCATTAACGCAACAACTATATCCACACATTAATCTTCAAATTCTCTCCGGTTGCTTGAAATACATTCAAAGGTGGGAACCAAGGAGAAAGGAAGATTGGATCAGAAAACTGATGTTAAAAAGCTCACTAATTAAATGTAGATTTTGGACAAAATCCCATGTTGGAAGCTTGACATAAAGTACATCAACTCCTCGTAATAACATTCAAGTTATTTACATGTAAACAGTTCGATAATAATTCTCGATATTTCAATTTTCTATTACTGTCAATTATACTTGATGTAGGCCCTTCTCTATTGAGTCCGTGATCAAAAGACCTCCACGTCAATTCACATCTAGTTATTGAAACTTGAAATACGTCATCGTCAAGAAATAAAGAAAAACTTTTTTCCCCTTTAGAGTATGACGTTTGCAAATGATTATATAAGTACAAAGTGATTACAACGCAAAATTAAAAATAAGCTCTCTCATTTCTTTGTTAAATGATGTTTCTAATCTAGTTCAATGTAGAGTTCTTCAGTTCATCATACTATTTACTAGATTCTATAGCGGTGTCTGTTTTGAGACACTTCGACGGGGTGGCTTCCCCCATCGCTTGAAACTCCTTCATCTTCCTCGACTGTGTTCTTCCGTAATTGACGCAAGTAGCTGTGGATCATTTTCCTTTCCTTGATGAGATCTTGTTCGATTTGAGA